AGGAAAGATCTTTGGAGAACATACCATAGGGAAAAATCCTGCATTGGCTGGGAATACACACTAGTTGGGACCTTACAGGGTTTCTGTGGTTCATTTGGTGCTGGTACAATAATTCATATTAAATGGAGCCAGTAGAAATGTAAGAGTGATCTTTGCTACTAAATCAAAATCAGTTTTCACCAACACATTAGACCTGAGTTCAAATTATAATTTTGCTAGACCATACATACATATTTTGCACTACAAACATTTTTATAAGCCCTTAAAACAGCAATACTGTAGAACCTCAGTTACGAACACCTTGGGAATGGAGGGTGTTCATAACTCTGAACAAAACATTATGGTTGTTCTTTCAAAAATTTATAACTGAACATTGACTTACTACAGCTTTGAAACTTTACTATGCAGAAGAAAAATGCTGCTTTGCTTTTATTCTTTTGGTAGTTTATTTTTAACACAGTACTGTACTTCCTTTTGGGGGAGGGGGTGTCTGCTGCTGCCGCCTGATTGTATACTTCCGGTTTCAATTGAGGTGTGTGGTTGACTGGTCAGTGCGTAACTCTCAGGTTCTACTGTACATTATTATTTGCTATAATAAATTATAGCAGAACCTTTCTACTTTGAATTAAGAGATCCACTGCAGATTACCATATTAGCAAGTAAGCCAATGTACGTGAAATAAATGAGAGAACACTTTACAAAAACACACTTTTCAGTTATTTTAACAATTGTACTTTATTTATGACAATAGTTTGTGTACTCAGAAATGTACATTGTTTGAGCTAAATACAACACAGGAGACGATGCTTTATGGAGATTTCAAAACTGAAGTGGATTGAACCTGCAGATTTTTATGCGATTACTAAAATATAATACTAATATAATACAAAGCTTCTTCTGAAAGTGCAGTTGGTCAAATAATATTTGAATACTATTGTGAAATAGTATTTCAAATGGCTTCAGGAAGGAGAGGACTTGGGAGTGAAGCCTGCACAAAGCTGAGCTGCTGAGTGTTCGTAGCAACACTGCTGGCAGTATTTATGTAACTACCTGTGCAATGCTGTTGCAGTCGTCGAATCTCAGCGTGCAAACCTTTGAGTGTGTTGGCATGTTCCCGCTGGAGAAACAACAGATTCTTCTGGGCACTGTGCAACTGGTTCTCCAGGTTTGAAGCTGCCATCCTGACATCTAGGAACCTGTTATTAAAGAGAGTCAGAGTTATAGCACACAGTTACCCTGCAGATATAAGGGTCCAATTCTAGCCTTGGGTGAATCAGGAGAAACTCCAATAATGTCCGTGGAGTTACACTAGTAGAACCAGTACAAAAGCAGAATCAGGCCCACAAAGAGTAAAAGGCATTTCACATTACCTGTTTAAAGCATTTAATGACACTTAGTATTGGAACTGGTCATTAACTTTCATAGAAAGTCTGAGTGCATTCTAGGCAGCAGCCTCCATGCTGAGAGCCGGGACAGGGGCACAGGGTGCTCATTTGTTTGTAGTTAACACATTTAAAGCATTAGCTCCAGACAGGCTTTAAGGCACTAATCCCTTAACAAGATAAAAGTGGAGTTCCAAGAAAACAGAATAATAGATGTTTGTTTTACTGTGGACTTTGATTCACCTCTTGAGGCACAGGAAATTAGGCACGCGCGGTAACTCCCCCTATATAGGGCAAGGAAACAGAGCACTGAAGTGCATTGTACCCAAGTATGGTGAAACCTTATTACGGGAACGTCCAAGACAGCAAATCATTTGCCTTTAACAAAAGGTTGAGACAAATGGTGCTGGAAACCTCTGGGACTGGGACACACTGAAGCTGTTGTTAAGGTTACCTAATGGAAGTTGGCTTTTGTTTAAATGTATACAATGGAACCTGCACTAAGAGAAGGTTGCTCGAGGAGAACTCTACGTTGTGTGGTGCTATTCTGTCTCTTATAGCATTTTCTACTGCACTGTAGTACAGATCCTTGCAACTTCTTGCAGGATTCTCAGTACTGGAGAACAGCCTCCTGACATTTCCATACAAGATAGAATTTCCAAGATTCTGTGATGACATACTATAGAACAAGACAATGGACCAATGGGATGTGTCATTTAATGAGAATATGGATCTGTTTTGGTACTCATAAAATGTTGGTACAAACAGAAACATTAAGACATTGGATTCTACAGATTGTAAGGCAGTAGTTATCTAGGGCTTGGATCTACCCCAAAGCACCCACATTGAGGTAAAAAGAGGTTCTCTGTGGCATTGAAGAGATGGAGATGGCTAATGGACTAGATGATCACAGTGGTCTCTTCTGGCTTTATAATCTATGAATAGTACAACATTGAGTGACACAGCTACACAACACTAAAGACATCTTTCCACTGCACTACCATAACAACTGCAGCTCATGGGAAGACAATAATGATTCTCAGTGTGACCACAGGGACTCTACTCAGCATGGTGTAGTCAAGGACAAAAGCAAGATGGGACCTGTGGCAAGGGTAGTCGCATTCTCCTTTCGGAGAAAGGCATTAAGGCAGTGGTCAGGGTCTGATTCTTGAGATTATTTTAAAAGGGCATTTTGGAGTGTTCTAGTCCCAGGGTGATCTGCACAGAGTAGTTGCCAGAAATCCAGAAGTGATAGTATGCAATTCATACAGTTGCCATACCTCCATTTTATGTGAGGTATTATGTAACCTCAGCCCCTGTGTTTCTAACTGAACCTTCATCACTTTAAAATCTCTTGGAGAGATTGCAGGGAAAGGGGAACATTCTTGCACATGGGGAAGTTGTGTCCAGGAATTAGATGGTTTTGGGAGGAAATTATGACAGAACACCAGCTTCCCAGAGATCAGCTTCCCTGATTACTTAATGCTCCAGTAAAGAAAACTGTAATATCAGTAATGCCAATCTCCAAGACAACCAAGAAGTGTGGGTATCCAGTGCTGCTGCACTTATCGATGCATTTTGATTTGGTAGTAACCTCTATATTTAGGTTGCCTAACACTTTCTATGAGAAGATTCTTGTGACTTTTTTTTTGAGAAGCTCTAACACCTCCACTGTTTGCAGCAGGTCTTTGAAATTCTGCAGGAAGAAAGCCCTCAGGCTAGGGAAGTGCCATTTGTTGGTCCCATGAAGTTGTTGAGGTTTGATAAAGTTATAAACGTTTGAAAATCACCATTTCCCTTCTCTTCCTTGCATGCCTCAGGAAAGTTTTGGCACCACATCAAAATAATTGCCAACAAACATTCTAAAGAGCTGGGTGCATGCTGATAAAGCGACAGCATCAGCACACGCTATACCGGAAACATGTGGAACTGTTGCAGCAGCTGGTGTGTGTGAGCATGAACCAGACTTCTCCCATATTGGCATGTGCTTTTGGGGCCAATCCCCCTTCTGGGGGCACCACAATGGGCAGGAGCTCCCTCAAACTCCAAGAAAGGGTGAAGAAAGATTTGTGCCAAGCTACTCCTGAGCATTCTCTGGCTCCAGTAGCCTATACCCCAGCTGGGACAACAGCCTTCTCCTACTGCCAGCTATTGTAGTTAGTCCATAGCTCAGTGGCAGAAGTCTGTCCTGCAGGTTCAGGGTACAAACACTGATGACACAAGATGAGGTGTGTCACAGTTTTTCATAACAGAGTTTGTTTAAACTTTAAAAAAAGGACAAAAGTACGTACAAGAGACGATGTTAAGTGAACACCATTAAGATGGCAAAGTCAAGTACTCAAGAGTTAGAAGTGCCAGATTTATGGTTGCCCATGCAATCTTGTTTCTTCCCTCTTGTTCCATATGCATTATGATACAGTATTTAATTACATGATCTCGTCCGTCCCCCCAGGATCCCTGACTCATTCAGGGCACAGGATGGATAAACAAGGGGGAAGAATTAAGGTCACACTGGCAATCTTAAATGCTTGAACTTAAAACATAAAAGATGTTCTTTTAGGTATGTAATTACTTTTTAAAAACATCTTTATTTGGGAACATTAACAGCAAATTAAGTTAATGAAATTGAAAAATGTTTCTAAAAATACATACACTACTTTTTGACTTCCATCTCTCCCCCCAAAGTGAGAACCAGAGGATTTGGGGGCCTCTTGAATCTAGCTGGTAGTTAAAAAACAGGGTCTTGGTGATCTTACTTGGTAGCCAGAGCTGAAATATACAGTTCTGATGAGTCAGCTGGAAGCTGCTATTCCCATGGAAACAAGAGTTGCCCGGTCAAAAATGGAGTAAAGGGGCTTTTTGGGAATCAGTTTCCATGGAAGTGTAGCATGGAGCTTTCAGCTGATTTGCAGAAAAAAGCTCACGGATTAAAATGATTGTTTTACAAAAAATTCTAAATTAACAATGCTAGTTCAGTCTTTGCTGGGGTGGGTGGTAGCCTTGCCAGCATTGTGCTGACAATGTACAAAGCTAGTTAGTAGGCAACTAAATCACCATAATCATAACACATAAAGCAATGGAAAGTTATAGCCCAATAGTGCTCTAAGCAAAGGACTATTGTGCTGGACAAGTAACAAATAAGCTTTGGGTGGATGCTCTGGTAAAACCTGGATTTCAGTAAAACAGGATTGGTTCAGCACAGTCTTTGCAAGTGAGGGAGGAGGCTTTGCTGAGAGTCACTCTGTTGCCACCACAACTGTATTTTGTCAGAGCCCACAGGGCCAGATGATAATTTTTAAATGGACTTTTCAGCTATATTAGTGACCTTGGGGCACCATTAATTTTAAGCATTGTCAATATTTCTGTTGCATTACCTTTTCAGAATGATGTAGCCTACTCTGAAAAGCCAAGTTCAGCCAGATAAAAGCTTTACAGCATCATCTGATTCTTAAGTGCTCATTGTATTCTCACTGAATGCAACAGCAGAATGAAATCTGCATTAGAGACCATTCCCCAAACATGGCAGGATTTTCAGATATGGTTACAGTGCTTTACACTCTTAAAAAAACTGCAGTGGCAGATGGGGGCTCAAACAGGATTTTTGTTAATATCAGCAATCGATTTATTTGGTTAATTTCAGTGTATAAAAAGAAAAAAAATTTTTTAAAGAGATGTCTATAAATAATATCTGGAAACCTTTCCTATCACAATTGTTACCGATAGCAGCTTTGTGCCTGTAGGTTAAAGTGAGATGAAAAGTTTTAAGAAAAAATTAGAAGACTTAAAGACACAAAGAGTAACAGAAAAGATGTTCAAAATATATAAACCTTCCAAATAAATATATTCAACAAAATAATACTATATGTCAGAAAATAAGACAACCTGATTGGATTTCTTCAGCGTCTATTATACAGTAGTATTACTCCACACCAGGAGTTATTTTTTTCACATAGCTCCCTTAGGTCTTAAGGATCACATTGGGATTAACTAGTCTGAAGGAAAAAATAAAACAGATTAGTTTTATGAGGCTGGCAGGAAAATGTGACATCAGAAATTGACAATATGGACCTAGGACATCTTTCCCCCTGCAGAAGTTAATCAGGGAAATCTATGGAATTTAATACACAAGCGTTTCTGAGGTAGCAGCCCCTCTCAGGTAAGCAGTTTTCTCCTTCCTCTGGATGATGAAGGGAGCACAGCCCTCCAATCCTGAGAGTATCCTGGGGTCTTCCTGTGTTTTTACTCAGCACTACGGCAAATCCCAGGGGATGCCTTGTGGTCATGCCTGAACCTTACCTCCTCCTTTGAGAAAAACAGAAGGTGAAGGGCAATGATAAAGTTAATGCTACACAAAGTAGCATTCACGTCTGCTGAAGTTTCCATGGGTATGCGGGCATCCCCCAATTCCACCGTTAGCTTGCCCAACCGTACCTTCTTCCAAGACAGGTGGAAACAATCCCATATAGTCTCTGTGGAAGAAACTGTGCATTTTCTTGGAAATGGGGGGAAATATCACTCCGTACAAATAAGAGGGAACTTTATATCTTTGGAAGACAGAGTCATGGTATGGACATATAATAGCTACCTGCCTTTTGAATTCTATGCTTTTGCAGTGCAGAAATGTCATTGTATCCTAATTTAGATGACTTTTCCTAGAGCAAGGGGTGGATTGGGAGAAGAACTGGAAAAACTCAGATAACTGACTGTTGAACAGCTTCTCAGACGCTAGTTGATCAATCATTATTCAGCTGGCTCTAATTCTGCAATGTTTTTTGCTAGATATCTATTAGCTAATGCACTCCCCATCTTGTAGT